ATGTTTCATTTTAGTAGGTGGTAGAAAAGCCACGTTTTCGAAGAGAAACTCTTATTTTGAACAGAATGAGTGAGATTTTGATAAATGTTCTAATATGATTGTTAACTGATAGACTAGAGCTAATATTCTTCTCCTCTACGCTAAAAGCGCAACACCGAAAGGTTCCGCCTTTGCTCTTTATATTTGCAATTGCACCTAACCGAATGACTTTAGTATTGCTCGTAGATATATCGACCGAAATATGCTCATAGGCCTGAATATTTCGGTCATAACTGTGCGCTCATCATACTTGGTCACACGATTTGACGTCAGTCTGCGCAATGCAAAACTAAATACCACCAAAAAACACCGCTGAAGTTGAAATAACTTTTGTTTCGTTTGTAGAGCTTTATCCAGTTGTGGTGCAATGAAACCTCGACACAAAAATGTCTTCTAATCAACGCTAAACTGTCAGTCCGCCCGAGGAGGAACGCTCTTGAATTTCCTCAAAATTATTTCACATCAAAAGTTGCTGGTAGTAAACGTAGATCGCGAATCTCAAGTGTACCCACCTGTATTTGGATGTGTTAGTTCAGCCGTTAACATGCCCGGGGTTTCAAAACCTAAAATACCTGCCACTTTTTGGACTGACTGAAAAAACACTGTAATTAGTCCCCACTATTTCTCCTTGACATCTAAACTCTCAAAGGTCCGTAGCGTGTCAGCTGTGGTGTGCACTATGCACCCACAAAAAATCGGCACACGGTATTCGGCATTCGGGCTCAGGATTCTGTGATGCGTCTTTGGTCACCTGCGTTTTCATTTGTACCCATAGCGCTCTGTTTTCAGAGTATGGTCATTCCACTGAAAGTGAAGCAGTCGGCTGGAAAGAATGAACTCCTTCAAAGAGAGTTCACTTTCCAATGAAGTTCATAACAAGTAATTTATGCCAAAGACTCACAGGATTCTCCATCTCTCGATAAGCCACATTTCGGGCCTCAGTTAGCGAATTATCTCAAAATTTCTACTGATCTCGAATATCAGTAAAACCAGAAAGCACATCGCAAGAACAGCATAGTTATCCTGAACAACGTAAAGTAGGCACTGGAGGTCAAGTACTGACTGCATCTGGACGGTTCAAAATTGATTTTAAACAAGAAAGAACTTATTTCATACTAAGATCAAAACTTTTTGTATTACTACTCCATGAATGCGAAAAACAATATTAATATCAACAGTCACTTATCATTTGTCACTTATTTCGCCCTTTCATGCCGGCGTTAGTCATTTAATACTAACTGAATGACTTGAGATATTGACAATGGTGCTAGTATAATGCGAATTAATTCTGCTACCGAATGTGAGTTTCACATGAATACTATGTTTGCTGCCAATCTAAAATGGAGACCAATTCACATAATGACCTGGTCTCAATTTTTTCCAAAACTTCAGTTATCAGCAGATAATGTTTGGTGAAAACATTTCAATTTAAACTAAAGGTGTTCCGTTCAAGCGCTTACAAAAGACTCCGTGTAGTTATGGTATAAACCCTAGTAATTAAGGCGAATCGAGAAGGCAAAATGTCCATAAAGGCTAGCTATCTTGCTGCCATCCACAGAGTACCTATCCAGATTTTATTATTTACAACCCATCGCGCTTACTGAGTAGTTCATTCCAAGACAGTGGCGGTTTTCTAATGAACAAGGTCATAGCTCCCCAAAAAATTGAATGAAACTCGACTAGCCTCACTGCATTTGGAATACCACAAAGAGAAAATCTTGAGAATTCACAAAGATAGTAGGCGGTTAAGGACTCGCATTGCGACGCCGGTGTGCTCATGTTGGCAGTGTTGAGGAAAAAAAATAGAACTCTTCAAAAAATGTACTCGTTTTTTTGTCAAAAATCTCGGTCCTGCATCTTATTTCAGTTAAAGAAGATTGACTGATGGAATCCTTGACATAGCTATCTTCGAGGTCAGTTTGGAGCGTCAGCCACAGCCACTAGAGATCAATTTTTCACGAAACGAAACGAGCAATTTTTAAGAGAAACATCTTTCCAGATTTTTGGCAACACGAACTAATTCGTATACAACTTCCCCAGTAAAAAAAATTATCCAAATAAGTTTATGAAGTTACAAGATTTTGTTTATCCTCCGTTGTGCAATCCAATGCGTTCTTTATAATTATTATGTGAATTTTTATGAAACTCCAAGGGACTTCCTGAAACCTCGACTTTCTGCATGATGTTTTAGATAGCGCAACTATGCTCCTATGTTGTGAATTATGACTACCGCTGCAGTAAACGATAAATCGAAAAGGCGATGACCCGACGGAATGTATACCTAAGTTAAACGCGGAGGACATTCACTTTTGTCCCTGTACTTACTTGTGTAGGTTTAATCTGAAACATAGAGGCACGCTAAAAGGGGTGAGTTCAACACTGAAAGGTCTTTTATATACTCCATCGGTTTCCCTTCAGTAAGGTCCCTCCTCAGCGCTTTCCCATTGACTTCTAACTACTTTGTTACGACTAGTAGCATGTTTATAATGTGCTCTGTTCAAATCGGTAGGTTCAACTCCCAAAGATGAGAATTCACCCCAATGGAGAACATGTTCACTTATGCTGAACTTAATTGCTAAATGTCTTTAGTAACTGCTATTTCTTCGATGCCACCTGAAGATTTCATTCCTTGCACACTCAACAGTTGGAGCTCTGAATTCGACCACTCGTTTAGCACTGTATAATTGATTCTCGCGATTGAAGAACCAAAGAACAAGGCTCTAGTAAACATTGTTTGTTTTATTGTCTGTCTTGCTAAGCTAAACAGATGTTATGTTTGAGTCATTTGTATTTTGGATAAGTCAGCGCTTTCTATTTTAGGGTGCATACAACCATCATCCTCCGGTAAAATTGGTCTAAACTAATTCAGCATTAATCTGATCAAGTATAATTCTGTTTCTTTGAAGATTGGACAGCGCTTATATATTTCTGTGATGTTGCCCACTCTAGGCATTTAAATAATCGAGACAATACATAACTTTGTTATTCTTAAGCATAGTAGTAGTACCTTTCTGGCCCAGCAGAAATAACCCCTGATTTGTCTGCAACAGGTAGCGTTAGTTCTTCCTTGGTGCGTTAACGGCAACACACGAATGGCAAGCTACATCCCCTCGTTTCATCTGACTGCTGCCTTAGAGAATAGTTACAACTTCAGTATTGGTTCATAGAACTGGATTTGTAGGCAGACTGCTTGTTGTGCAGTCTGATCGGTAACGTCCTCTGAGTGGATTTAGATTATCTGTCACAATCAACTATCGGCTACACACCACCAAGCTTCACACATGTCTTGTGGGAAAGTACACACTGCCTGGTTCTGTCAGATTGCATGAAACATTTGAATTTAGGTACCTAGTGGACTGCTTGTTTTTGAAGAAACTTAGCTCTTCACTTTTAAAGACAAAGTGGCAGCTGATCATATTTTAACACTCAGTCACATTTTGTGCCGTACATTCGGCAGACAGGTCGGAGATGACGAAAATATTTATCCCGTATGTCTCCCAAGGTGTGAAAACCTGGGGTAATTTGTTGCTAATTCCACGAAGGCGGCGAACTTAATTCCCACGCTGACCGGACAATTTGATGACATGTCTGTTTAAAGGTTCATCAATGGGCTTGTATAACTGCTAAACTCAATGTTTTCGACTGCCCAACGTGCAACTAGCAATCCTTTGAAATCCCTCGACGTACCCCTGATGTACACAGCTGTTTTCATTTTGCTCTCAGAGATTTTTCATATATATATATATATATAATAGCTGGTCCATTTTTTGTTTGAGAGCGTACATAGTGAGCATACTCCAACTCTCGAGTGCGATTCGAGCAGTCACTTATATTTATAATGGTTGGATATCTCTTGTCAAACGGTATAACCCCTCTTCAACCGTGAAAGTTCATTGTTGGCTCCTTCAGTGACGATTTCTAGAAAGTACACCCATAAAGGTTTTGTGTATATATAGAGTGTCTCATAAAAGACGCAAAAATAATAATACTTTGACACCAGTTTAAATATTTATTATTTTTTATGTGGACATACGTGCATTATGAAGGTTCATCGTGATTTAACTGGCATTACAAAAGATGTTGAAAAAACCGCCGCTTTCTTCTATAACAAGTTGTAGGCGGTATGAGAGTGAGATAAGATGAATGATCCATTCCCCTAGAAATTTGGTTGTCAAGCGAATTAAAAATCAGTTGCTTTCCTGAGTTTCCGCTGCAAGAGAACTACTTCTCAGGAGTCCTCCAAGGTAATTGCCATAAAATGGGTATTTATCTTCCCATGATCAGAATGAAGCTCCTTTCTCACTTGGTAACAAAACCAAGAGAATATGAAGCAGGCTTGTCTTTTACTTACCTCATGCTTTATCTTCCGAATATTCAAAGTCAGAAATACGCACTAAGATTTATTTAGTCGGAAGCAGTGTGAACTTATTCTATTCTTGCCAGAAACATGATTTTTGATATCCTGGATACGATTAGCTCCTTTCTAGTAGGTTTGCGAGGCGCATTCGAATGAGTGGCTTTTCAGGGTATTAGTAATAGGCTGTGAGCACAGAAAACTGAAAATGTCCGCCACAAAATTTTCACAGCCATATTCATTAGGCTTTTTTCAATCTTTGACTCCTCCCACCACTTACTTTGATTCCCGACTCCACGCTGTTGGGTAAGTTGCCTGGCTGGTTATTTCAGTGTTTCCCACAAATAATCGAGGAAGCCTGAACCGGGCTTGCATAAAGTTCATGCGCAAGGAATAATTTACTTAGTGCACACAATAAATCTCGGTGAATTTTTCACTTTTTTCTTTCACTCGATATCCATTGGTGAAAAATCTGACGCCACAAAACTGTGGGGGTAGTCGGAGTGTTTTTGGGTTGGAATTGTTTCAGGATGCTGATGATTTCCTCTGTAATTCCCATTACCTAACTAAGGATGCGTGACTCCATGTTCTCCTGAATTTTGTTCAGTCTTCCAGACTATTAAACCAATTCCTTCAACGGATGCTGAACCGTGACCCAGCAGCACGCGCCACAGCCAATNCTGAACCGTGCCCAGCAGCACGCGCCACAGCCAATCAGTTGCTTCGAGATCCCTTCCTACAACTCTCTGGTACTTCTGAATGCCTTCTTCCACTACTGAGGCACACTCGACGTCGGTAATGAATATCCTCAAAAAGGCACTTATTCTGGGAACTATCTTGTTTATGCCCAAAGAGAAACAACCCCTACTATCAAAAAATCGCCATAGTCTCTTCGACGCAATTTAGCAATATTTTTTAAACTGACTATTGTTACATACCCGCGCCAAAACTTGGCATTTTGTTTTCCTTGCTGTACAATATTTCTTTATTTGTACATTTAAATTTGATACGACCTAGAGTCCCGAGCAGGATGCGATAATCACAGACTTCCCCCTTCCAAGTTCGCATACGACTGTTTTTTGTTGAATGTCATTATAGTGCTACCCACCATGTGGAAAACAATTATGGAGAACTGCCGCCTCTTCTCGTGAAATGACTCTGGATTTCAAAACAGGTGGAACAATCTTTGAATGACCGGGTCCAGTACTGTGAAATAAATCTTGCCTGATAACGCGGTTAGTCTTACGTAAATTTTACATCAGAGGTAGCCCAGAGTGCGCTAGAATCCTTTAAATAAGTTATTTGTGGAAACAGGTGGATAGAAACGTTGGAATCTATAAAAAGGCTTGCCTGTACGTCACCTCCATTGAGCCTCTCACAATGTACAGCACAGTATGTAATGTATTTGTATTGATCATTATAAAACAACGGACAAAGCAGTCTATTTGGGCCGAACGTACATATTAGTTCATCAGTGCAATAAAGTGGGGGATAGAACATTTCAGAGTACTGGTTGCTTGGAATAATATTACCGCCATCAGCGACTCCTGGGAGAGATATACTGTCATCTCTGTGAAAGTCCTGTCTTGAGAAGGACCCTTTCAAGCAGGACAACCGTATTATCCGCACATCGAAACCCACTTCTAAATCCACTGGTTTTGAAGCGTACGGAAAAGTTTCAAATTATTCTGATATGATTTCAGTGATCACTTCTGCGTCAAATGATTGCAGTGGTTGATTAGAAGCGGGGCACTAAAACGCCAACAAGAACCGTTCCCCAAAACGGATATTCTGCAACTTGGTCCCTTATAGGAACACTAATACATTACTTCCAACACTCACTCACTCTGATAGCTTTGTTGAGTTCCATATGCTGTTCATTTCAAAGTTCATTCACGATATGCTTTTTGGCGAAGATCAGCACCTAACATGCCATTCATGTATGTTAGTAATCTACTGACCATAAATGATCGGTTGTTCAACCTATTTGAAAGCCAAATTTAGCTGGCAATGTTTAAGTTACCCCAGCCTGGCTCCACCTTCTGCAAGAGTGGCTGAGTCCACTGCGAGCACCCGAATGCCTCCCTGATTATTTGTGCCTGGCTTACGCAGGTTGACCTACATCGAACTATTTTGTACAGTGAAATATGACTAGCGATTCCTTACAGTATATGAGTAGTGAATTATCCGTCCGATTCCATTCGTCTTTTACCTTTTGTTTTTATAACACTGGTCTTTATGTAGTTTAAGGTGGTGTCTCTTTGATTACCTATGAAATTCAGTTTCAAGCACATAGCATCATTATTTTAGCAAAAACGGTACAACAACCCCCTTATGTGGTACACACATCGACAGCATGACATCAGTGTTCAACACCGATGCTTCACTGCCATACAACCACAATTTATTCTAAAGCCTTATTGTAAAGAAAAGAATAAGGGTGGACGGGGAAGGGACTCAGTGCTAGCTTAACACAATCATTCCGAGGTGCCTAAACCTCCAGACATTCACGCAGGCGATCTGGATAAGAACTGACAACAAGAATGCCACTGACATCGGTTGGCAGCCATCTCTTGTAGCGTCTCCAACCAGGCACAGTGGGGACCACGAGGTGAATGGCACCGACATTCACTATGAAGAGAGAGATAGAAACTCAAGACTCTTGTGGTGTCCTGGTATGACGTTCGCTTTAACCTCACGCAAAACATGATTTGACGTTTTACTGGGTATGATTTCTTCAAACTGATCTTGTAGCTCTGTTATGATCACGTGACATATCGTGCACTATTTTGCAAGTTATTTTCTTTGTTGTTAGTGCTACTGGAGATATAGACGAGAGTCTTTACATTCAGTATCTCGGTAGCCTTGGATGCCTGGTAGTTATTTCTGCCCCCCAATGCACTTTGCGTCCCCAACAGAGCTTCCACGTATGCTTTGTCGTTACGTTTATAGCTATTTTGGAAACGACTGATTTTGCTTACCGTTTTTTATCTACCTTCATTCAATGGCCTAGTTGCTGTAGCATATGGGGCGTTCTCACACTAGAGTCGTGACTGGTTACAGTTTCACACAGCGTCGTGGTTTTCGTTGATCCTTGAGACAGAAAGGACTCAGTTGCCCAAAACCATTTGACTCCACTGAGAGCTCGATGGTTTGTCCTATGAAGTACAAAACTGCTTGTTCCTTTGGGGAATAAGTGATTTGATAAGGTGTCTCTGCTAAATACATTGATCAAGCGACCAATAAATTCTGCTGTTTCAACATGCAGATTTCCCTGCAGTTAAGCGGGAAAATTTCAAAGTCCAGTTTGGGGAGAAACACATACGATTTTTTGTGCTACATTGTGCGTTACCCTGTCAGGGTACATGATTCATTTACACCAAAACGACAAAATTGGACGTCACATGCAGATTCACAGAAAAGCTATTCAGCGGTTGATTAGCACTTTGGTAAGACGGGACCAGGGTACATGGGACCAGCAAAGTCACTACTGGTGGGTATGGATAGCACAATACATCTTGCGTCAGTTTAGTTGACAGGCTATAGGTTTTTTGCCGCAAGTTTTGGCTGGTCAGTTGGAACGAGTTGACGACACTGTTACACCAGTCTGTGGGGGGGGGTCAACAAGTCGTGGGGGGGGGTTGGGAAATTTGGTGAGTGGAGCCAATCAATGCTAAAAGACCGAGAAGCACTGTGCAGCTGTTTAATTCTTAACCGGATTCAACCGCTCACGAAACTTCAGAAAGCCTTGAACCAGCCAGTTGTCGGAACCCTTAGCAATTCGGCCTCGAGTGGATGATAAGCAAAGTGATTAACCTGCACTTAAATATGATATAGCCCCTTCGAGTACGGGTAACCCAACACATGCTCACAGAATTTGAGTGGTTTCCGGTACAAAGACCTCGCAGGATCCGTTTTCCAATAGCTGAATCACTCTACATCACACCACAGCAAAAACAGTTGGTGGAAACTTGTGACGTGTCGGATAATTGGTATGGCAACACAGTCTGAACAACACTTCAGTTCATCCAATTACCGCAAGTGAATGATGGAAAACCCACTCCGACTAAAGGTCACAATATCCTTCTTACACATCTACCTTAATACCGGCTCATCTACACAGACGGACAGAAGGCTTAAACGACGTTCAAGAGGGACCATCAGATGAACCGAATTAGAAGAACTAGACCCTAGGCTGGACCCAAACACATGTATGCTTACCCATCGGCCCAACACTTGTCCATCCACCCAAACACACAAAATCCCTCGGCCGACACCCAACAAAGATTTAGCTTGACGTAACTGATTGGTTCTCCTTCTGCCTTAAATCTCTACCAGCCTAGTCACTTGGTCTGTGTCAAAAGCGAAAAGTTGCCCAGCAGTAAATCTACCGATTTTAACCAAACTTCTCCGAGAACCCAAACATATGCTCACTGAAAGATTCGAAAGCTCCCTACAGGCTGCGCCCTTGTTAAAGCGTATCAAGAAAGCGCTAGTCCCCGTGATTCCATCAACCCTAAACTCTAATCCAATAGAGCTTTTACGCAGTTCATGAAAGAAGCTCATTTGCCGATTACTTTGATATCGCCAGATGACCAAACAGAATATATCGTTTATGACGTTTCTAACTTGCTGTGCCATATAAATCTGTCTCATGATTTTGTTGGCATCATATTCGAGGTATCGCAACATAAGTTCTTGACGTAATATATGATTGCTGAAGCGTTTCAGTAAATACATGAGTGGTGTGTTATGCCTTGAGAACTAGGCCCACTAGTGTCTAGGTGCATAATTTGTTGGCCGGGGTAACCAGGGTAACAACCACTTAATAACCACGAGAAACGGACTGCCTTCACTAGGCCTACGCCTACTCGAAATGACCTTACATTGATAACACACATTGTCGCAGATTCTTCGGTGAACTTGTGAGCTTTCTGGGTTGGACACTTTGTAGCATCGCCCCACTTCAATATGTAATTGAATTTCATGAATGAATCAACTTCACAAATCGGTACAATACCCGATGCGCTCGTAGAATGCTTAAACCCAACCCAACTCAGCTCGCACTGTCACATCGTAGAAAAAGAATCACCAGCTGTCGCTTGACCTGGACCAAATTACCTCTTTCTTTGAGTACACTACCACAGCTGTATGATTAGAAGATACAAGATCTAATATAACAGAAAAATTGTTACGTACACTTTGATCACTATAGTGTACAGCAAAATATACAGACAAACACATGGATTCAGTCTTCTAATCAAAACTGTTTCATAATTCTCAACCGGATTCATCAGCTCACGAAACTTCAGAAAGCCTTGAACCAGCCAGTTGTCGGAACCCTTAGCAATTCGGCCTCGAGTGGATGATAAGCAAAGTGATTAACCTGCACTTAAATATGATATAGCCCCTTCGAGTACGGGTAACCCAACACATGCTCACAGAATTTGAGTGGTTTCCGGTACAAAGACCTCGCAGGATCCGTTTTCCAATAGCTGAATCACTCTACATCACACCACAGCAAAAACAGTTGGTGGAAACTTGTGACGTGTCGGATAATTGGTATGGCAACACAGTCTGAACAACACTTCAGTTCATCCAATTACCGCAAGTGAATGATGGAAAACCCACTCCGACTAAAGGTCACAATATCCTTCTTACACATCTACCTTAATACTGGCTCATCTACACAGACGGACAGAAGGCTTAAACGACGTTCAAGAGGGACCATCAGATGAACCGAATTAGAAGAACTAGACCCTAGGCTGGACCCAAACACATGTATGCTTACCCATCGGCCCAACACTTGTCCATCCACCCAAACACACAAAATCCCTCGGCCGACACCCAACAAAGATTTAGCTTGACGTAACTGATTGGTTCTCCTTCTGCCTTAAATCTCTACCAGCCTAGTCACTTGGTCTGTGTCAAAAGCGAAAAGTTGCCCAGCAGTAAATCTACCGATTTTAACCAAACTTCTCCGAGAACCCAAACATATGCTCACTGAAAGATTCGAAAGCTCCCTACAGGCTGCGCCCTTGTTAAAGCGTATCAAGAAAGCGCTAGTCCCCGTGATTCCATCAACCCTAAACTCTAATCCAATAGAGCTTTTACGCAGTTCATGAAAGAAGCTCATTTGCCGATTACTTTGATATCGCCAGATGACCAAACAGAATATATCGTTTATGACGTTTCTAACTTGCTGTGCCATATAAATCT